GCATGGCCATCCTCCCTGGGGGGTGATTTCTCACTTTCTGTCTCTCTGTCCCTCTCTGTCTGTCTGGCGAGCGCACACGCCCTATAGCAAAATTCTCTAAAAAAAAAATAATTAAAAAAATGAAAACCTACCCAGGGGCCAGCAGGAGGGACAGCGGAGACAGGTAGCCCCCAAGATGCAGAGCAGAGAGAGGACTCCGTAGGAACAGACAGGGAAATGGCCGGCAGAGAGCTTCCCGTTGACAACGTGGGCACAGAGAGCTGGCGTCCTCTCCCTGGCGAGGGGGCACTGCTAGGCCCTGCCCGTGCAGGAGAGAGGACAGCCTGCAGGGAAACCGGTATCTTGGCTCTCGTCATGCGAGAGAGACAGACACAGGCTCAGGTTTCTCGCAGCCACGTGGGTCTTGTGGCAGCCCCTAGTCTTCTCCAGTTATCCAGAGTGTCCCAGGGTTGCTGTCACGTCTCTCCACGAGGGCGACTAGGGAGTGACGGTCTTACCTGTGTGCACTTCGCATGGCTGTGAAGGCCCCGGCCAAGGCTAGCCTGTGGAGGTCCTTCCTAGCCTGCTAAGGCGTTTTGGGGACCAGAGAGGAAGGGTCCTGGGCTGTGTCCTGCCCTCGGCAGTCAACATGGAGCATGTGCCAGTCCCCAACACCCAGGTGACAGCTGTCACTGTGCGTGACAGCACAGTGAGATGTCACCACGACCCAGCCGTGTGGGCAGATAGACAAGATGTTGTGCACACAGGCAGTGGGATGCAGCCGGGGGAGGGTGGGGCCAGCAGACGGCATGATGGTTTCATTGCTGGACTCCCACGTGGTCGACCACAGTTCGAGTCTTGAACCCAGCAGCTTAAAACTCACGCCAGGTGCATGTGTGTGCATGCCCCAAATCCCAAAAGAATGGAGGAGCAGGGATTGTGGCATGGCCATGCCCCTGTGGGGGGTGTGATTTCTTCCTTTCTGTCTCTCTGTCTCTCCAGCGAGTACACACACCCTATAGCAAAAATCTCTCTAGAAAAATTTAGAAAAGAAGAGCAGGGTAGGATATTCTGACCCAGGCCCTTTGAGGACACCATGCTCAGTGAAATAGGCCTGTCACAGAAGACAGGAATGGCGTGCGTCACTCTGCTCGTGAGGCCTGCAGTAGTCAGACCCACGGACAGGAAGGGAAGGGTGGTTGTCAGGGCGGGGCAGAGAACGGGGACTTACTGCTTCCGGATGGAGTATCAGTATGGGAGGGTGACAGCAGTGACAGCTGTCCCGCACTGGAGCGTACGTAATGCCCCCGTGCCGTGCATTTAGAAATGGCCCAGACGGTAAATTTCGCCTGTGTCTTACCACAACAGGAGAAGGACGACCTCTCCAGGCAACAGCATCAGTGTAGTGACGCCCACTTACGTAGTGTTTTGTCTGTTTATTGTTAATGGCCAGAGGGTGTGTGAGCTCGCCCCAGACAGACAGGGAAAGGACGAAAAAGGGAGAAGGAAAGGACCCCCAGCGGGGCATGGTCACACTGCAATCCCATCTCCTCCATTTCTCCTTCCTGTTGGGATGTGGGCGTGCATATGCACCTGATGTGTTTTCTCAAGTCACCAAGGGCCAAGATTGGAACCGCGGTCAGCCACGCGGGCCATGACCGCCTGAACCACTAGCCGGTGGGGCCAGCCCTCCCCACTTGCACTGTGAACCGATGCGTTCCAGGAGTTGAAAGGAAGGTCCCACTGGCTACTTGGCGCACGTAGGCCTCAATCCCATTCGTAAGTCTCTCCACCCTGGCCTCCGAGGGCTGCCCTGGGGCCTGCTCTCTGCCCTGCAGTCCCGGCCCAGCCCGCTCTCTGCTGCCTTGAGCGGCCCCTGGCTGCGGGGCGGGTGGTAATTTCGAGGTCATATAAAATTTGTTTCTTTATCGTTGGATTTTGTCGAATGTCTGTGTGCACTGAGTTCCTCAGGAGCTTGGCTGAGTTTGTTAATTTTGCTACCAGCGTAATCTTCGTGAAGGAATGCGAGTTGCTTAATGACTTTTGAAAGTGAAAAAATTTAGATATAATTTATCTCTGCCTTTTGAGATAAAAAGACACTTTATGTAAACATTGACCATAAAGATAATTTTTAAAAATCTGTTCCCGTAAACTTTATTCTAAAATGGAAGAGGAGACAGTATAATTAATCTTTAGTAGACAGCACTCGTTTTCTCATTTATCTGTTCCGCAAATACTTATGAAGCCACTGCTGAGTGCCAGAACCCGCTCGCCTGGGGGACAGAGCGACTGGTACTGAGTCGCATTCCTGTGTTTGTTCTGGTCACCAGTTGGTCAGCAGCACCATGCATGCCCTAGGCATGGGAGTGAAGCAGGCCAGCTTGAGGCTCAGCAGGACTGCAGCCAGTTGGAAACTGAGAAAGGCCTCTGAGGGTCCAGACCCCCATGTAGTTGACCACAGTTCGAGTCCCAGACCCAGCGGCTTAAAACTCACACCGGGTGTGTGCATGCGTGCCCAAGATCCCAAGAGGAAAATGGGAGAAAAGGGATTGCAGTGTGGCCATCCTCCTGGGGGTGATTTCTCGCTCTGTCTCTCTGTCTCTCCAGCGAGGGCACTCACCCTATAGCAAAAATCTCTCTTAAAGAGAGAGAGAGAAAGAAAGACCCCCGAGGAGAACACTCACCGAATGCTGAGTCAGGACATTTGAGGAATGATCAGTTGAGAAATCAGAAATGGGATTCTAAAGAAAACAGGAATCCTGGGGCTGGCAAGTGGCATGGTGGTTAAAGGCGCTGGACTCCCACATGGCTGACCACAGTTCAAGTCTCAGACCTGGTGGCTTGCTTTCTCACTTCTGCTCTCTCACTTTCTCTCCCTCTCTTTCTGTCTCTCTCTGATCAAACTGGAAAACAATAATGATGATAATAATAAAGTTAAATAAAATAATTCTTTAAAAAAAAGAAAATAGGAATCCGAATAATTGCTCAAAGCGAAGCCATTGACTGCGATGGGTCATGCAGGAGTGATTTGCATGAGCTTGGAGCTGCCATCCTGAGCACACGCTGAGCTTTCGGGGGCAGTGTGGTGGCGCTCGCTGCCTGTCTCCCTGTGGCCCGGCTCCTTTCTTCTGCAGCCTCTCGTTCACTGACCACCAGCAGAAGCAGCTGGACTTAGTTTGCTGGAAACAGACGGGTTCTAGGAAAAGGCTGCTAATGAAACAGGATAGAAGGCTTGTCTATTTGGGGGGACAAAGGGCAAATCATTACCATGGAGTGTGGCGGGGCCCGTTTAGTTAGGAGAGGAAACACCCCGTCCTGCCTCGGTGGGTGGAGGAGCCAGTCTGAGAGGAAGCGGGAGTTGTTTTCAGCAGGGAAGGGCGATGATCAGCTTTGCATTTCAGGTCTATGCCTCTCGCTGCTGTGGAATCTGATTGGATGTGGGGAGGACAGGAGCCAGAGAGCTGCAATATGCGAGTCTGGGCCTGGTGGCAGCTGAAGGAGGAGGGAAATGGAGTAGTGTTGAAAGCAAAGAACTGTTTAGGAGGTGTAATTGGAGGCCTTTGGGGTGAGTGATGGGTTCGTTGAAAAGGGAAAGAGAAGCATCAAGGATGACTCCTAAGATTTTGCCTTGGGAAACTGGACGAATGTTTGCGCTTGCTGGGACAGGACTGGAGGAGGGAGAGGACAGCACGTGTGTGTGTGCGTGCAAGCACACATGCACCTGTGCGTTCGGGGGTGGAGACACAAGAAGGCCTGGAACACACTCAGGGCCAGTGTTCAAGGAGCAGTAGGGTCTGTGAGCGTGGGGCTGCAGGTTAAGATGAAAGTCACCTAAAACAAACGGTGACTGGTGCAATGGCAGGGGGTGGGATAACCCAGAGAATGTGCCTGAGAAGAGAGGCATGGAGAGGTGACATGTAAGGGACAAAGGGGAAAGATTCTGAATTGCCTGGGAAGGAGGCAGAAGAGCGGGTGAACACAGTGTCACGGAAGCCAAAGGGGCGCGTGTCATTGAGTGCCACATTTGGAGGGCGCAGTCGGCAACCTCAGACACAGCAGACTGACCGTGGAGTGGGAGGGCTGAGGCCACTGACGACCTTGGTGAGGGTCCTTGTGACGTCAGAGCAGGAGCCATGTGATGTGGGGTGAGTGGTGATCTCTAGTGTAGGTACCCCTCCAAGAACCCTGCAGAGAAGGGGCGGGGGCTGCCGCTGGAAGAATGGAGGTAACAGCGCCTTCCTGAATGTGGGAATGGATTGTTTGTTTGTTTTGGCCAGAGGGTACATGTGCTTGCTAGAGAAAGAAAAACGAGACAGCAGGAGAAAGCATCCTCACAAGGGACGGTCACACTGCAGTCCCTTCTCACTCCTCCATCCTGTCAGGATTTGGGCGCATGTCCCTGTGTGTTTCCTTTTTTAAGAATTGTTTTCTTTGGGACCAGCAGTTGGTGTAATGGCTATGTTGCTGGATTCCCATGTAGTCGACCATGGTTCAAGTCCCAGACCCAGTGACTTAAACTCACGCCAGGTGTGTGTGCGTGCGTGCCCAAGATCTCATGAGGAGAATGGAGGAGAAGGGATTGCAGCATGGCCATCCCCCTGGGGAGGGGTCATGTCTCACTTTCTGTCTCTGGCTCTGTCTTTCTGGCGAGCGCACATGCCCTATAGCAAAAACAACTCTCAAAAAAAAAAAAAAAGAATTATTTACTTTAACCTTATAGCCTTATTTATTTATTTAAATCTGACCAGAGAGGAACAGAGTGAGAGAGAGAGGGAAAGTGAGAAAGCAAGCTGCCAGGTCCAGGACTCGAACCGTTGTCTAGCCACGTGGGAGTCCAGGGCCCTTAACCACTACGCCACCTGCCAGCCCCACCTGGTGCGTTTCTTAAGCCTCCAGGGCTAAGACTCCAACCAGGTCGACCATGTGGGATCCAGCTCCCTTAACCACCAGGCCACAGGGCCGGCCCTAAGTGGAAATGGATTTAAGCCAAGCTGGGGAAAGGGTGAGTAGGAGGGAGCAGTTTGGGTAGATGCAGGAGTGTGGCATCCAGTCTCGTGAAGGGCAGGACTGGTTTCTGGGAAGCTGGGAGTTGTACACACCGACGTATCTGTCTTGAATCAACGGCAGAACCATCTTCCCTTGGGTTGAGTCTTCCCATGCGAGGGTGCTGGGATGAGCAGGCTCTCCAGTTCCCTTCCACAGCACTCGCTCCCAGACTCTCCCTTGCTTCTCTGCGAATTTCACCCTGGGCCTGTGTCTGAGGTCAGAGTCCCTGGAAGCGGAGTCTGCCATGGAGCACCAGGTGCCCGTTTGTTACGTGTTAGGGAGCGCTCTCAGGAGGAACCCAGACGAGCAGGGGGAAAGCCAAGCAGGACATGATGTCGGTGAGCTCTAGTCTCAGCCTGATGAGGAGAGCACCGGAGCGGGGCAAGCCCATGGCGTGGTGGTTAAGGCCCTGGACCCCACAGAGCCAACTACCCGGTTCAGTCCCAGATCTGTTGGCTTGAAAACATGCTGGGCACGTGTGCATGTGCGAAATCCAGAGAGGAGAATAGGGGAGAGGAGTTTGCAGCATGGTCTCCCTCTTTAAACTGACCAGAATTTGCCCCACCTGGAAGCAAGGAAGGTGGGCTTCTGCATCCTCCTACTAGACACCCTTTAGTTATGGGTTGCCCCAGGATGAGGGAGACACCCCTGCCGGGATGGCTCCTCCTCCCACGAAGGTTGCTGGTATAACCCTGCAGCAGCTACGAGACCTAGAACAGGTAGAAAGAACCAGCCATGACCTGCCATCTGGCTCTCCCACTCTCTTGCCCACTGGTTGCTGTGTCCGACAGGACCGGGCACTGATCGGCTATCCTATGGCTGCCTAAGAAACCTCCCCCAAACACAGAGCAACACCCACATATTTGGTTCACGGCCCTGGGTCAGCAGTTTGGTTGGGGCTTTGTTTTGCTCTTGACTGAGCTTGCTCATAACCCTGGGGTCACTCCTAGGTCACTTGGGACTGGTTGAACCAGGGTGGCCTCATCCAGAATGTCTTGTCTCTCCGTTCCACGCGGCCTCTCCTCCTGCAAGCCAGCCTGGCTCGGTCACATGGCAGGGGTGGACTCCCAGAGCGCTGGAAGTGTGCATGCAGTCCCGGGGACCGAGCTCAGAAACGGCAGGCTGCAGTGCCTCCCACCCACGGTGGAGTCTGTTTCCTCGTCCCCTGAATCTGGGCTGGCCTTATGACCTCCTTTAGCCCACAGAATGAGGCAGAAGTGGCGGTCACATCAGAGAGGGGATGGATTCAGGGAGAAGTGGGAGGGAGGCCAGTTTTGCCATCGACCGCGTCTTCTCGCTTGATTTCAACAGCTGGGCCTGCAGACGGGCGCGCGACCCCCTGAGTAGTCTGAGGTGGGCCTGGCCGCGGGCTGAGCACGCTGAGAGCAACCTGCCGTTCGCCAGGCTGTGGCGCTCTTCACTGTCCAAGAGGAGCCAGGGTGTTTACTGGGGTGCCCTGGGGACCGGTGCCTGTAGAAAAGGCAGAGGGAAAAGCTGTGACGCGATGCAGCCTCCACCAAGGCCTCGGCCACCCGACAGGGGGACTGAGCCTGGGGTGGCTCATCAGAGTCGTCCCAGGTCAGTGCAAAGGGCCAGCCAGGGTGTGACGGCCATGCTCGGCAGGCAGCACCCCACAGGGCAGGCCTGCTAACGTGTGGGCCGGTAGCGCGAAGTACTCAGCACCTGGAAGGAACAGCCTGCACGCCCGGGAGGGGACCCAGGCACTGCATCTCCTCCCTTCGTACATGGAATCGTTTTCTGCTCTTTAACTCATGATGCCAAAATCCTGGCAGGTGAAAACGAAGGCCATCATGCGTCTTCTTATGATCCGTTCAGCGTGTAACTGAACTGAAGGGGAGGTGCGGATGCTGCCTGGGTCCATGGGAGAGGTCTCAGTAAGTGTTGGGGCGGTCAGGCCCTGCCGACAGCCGTCACCAGCTCGTCGGCCATGGGCGGGAGCCACAGTGGGAGTGAACCACCAGCCCCCGGTCCAGCCTTCAGATGGCGCGGCCTCCATGCCTGACTGAGAGACCTCCCGAGAGACCCTGCACCAGGACTGCCTGGCTGAGAGGGCCACGAGGCCCTGACCCGCAGAACTACAGAAGAGAGTGCGCCGGGTGGTAGGGGGCCACGTCGAACCGCAGACTGGGTGGTGGGAAAGGCAACATCGGCGTGCGCTGCTCTGGAGGCCACGCGTCCACGGTCAAGGTGCTGGCAGGTGCGCTTCCCCAGAGGCCCCCTCCCAGGCGCCAGGGCTGTCGCCGTGTCCTCCCAGAGCCTTTCTGGGCAACTACATCCTATGGCTCTTCCTGTTCTTATAAGAACACCAGTCCCATTGGACCAGTCTGCCCTATAGCCCCATTTCCTTGGTCACCTCTTCAATGGCCGTGTCTCCAAATGCAGTCACGCGGGGGGTTAGGGCGTCCACCTATGAATTTGAGGGAAACGGTTCAGTCCTTAGCACAGTAATTATCAGGTTGTCAGACAAGTCATGACAGGGACCAGCAGTTGGCATAATGGCTATATTGCTGGACTCCCACGTAGTCGACCGCGGTTTGTGTCCCGGACCTGGTAGCTTAAACTCACACTGGGCGTGTGTGCGTGCGTGCCCAAGATCCCAAGAGGAGAATGGAGGAGAAGGGATTGCAACGTGACCGTCCCCCCTGGAGGGTGATTTCTCACTTTCTGTCGCTCTGTCTCTGTATGTCTGGAGAGCACACGCGCCCTATAGCAAAAGCCCCTCCAAAAAAAAAAAAAATTTAAAAAAAAGAGAAAAGTCATGACACATTTTGTTCTCTTTTTCTATGCAAAATCACGTCATGACTTTTCTGACACGCCAACGTTATCGCTGTCGGAAGCCACTGAGCTGTGTTGACTGGTTCCGTGTGGACGGGCAGCTAAGGCTTGTTTCTTGGTGGGGAGGGGCATGAATGAAACAATAGATAAGAAACTCAGGAGCTTTGAGTTCTTTGTCAAAACGAACTGTCTTGGGGCCAGGCAGCAGCACAGTGATAGTGTAGCTGGACCACACAAGGAGGTCCTGGGTTCACATCCCAGGACCTTCCTGTGAGCACTGCGCACGGACCCTCATGCCTGGGCCCAGGCTAACTGGGCCGGAGGTGACCAGGGCATGGGGGCTCCACGGGTACCTATCTCCCTGATCCCCTTTCTCATTCTCAGAAGAAATGTAAAATAAAACTTTGCATTTGTTTTTATTGATTTATTTCATAAACTTTAAATGGATTCTTGCCAGTGAATCAGTCTCCAGGATGCGCCGTTTTCTAGGACGACTGGGAAGAAATCACTGGCTAGTCTGTCAGGGTTGCTACTTGGAAAGAGCAAAAATCTATAAATATTTTCAATCACTCAGCAGGCACTACTTGGTTTATACCGTCTACGGTCTGAAACGCCGAATTGCAACCCAACCAGGTCTTGATGTTAAGCTTATCTGCCAGAAACGGCAGACTAACAGTTCGTAGTCTATTACTCACAGCAGATTAGATACCATAAAAATAGTTTGGAAAAAATTCCCACTGGGTCAAGGAGCGGGGCCCCAGAGGGGCCGGGTGCTGACGGGCTTGGCTACCACGGGCCGGAGCTTCGGCACTGCCGCCCGTGAGCTGCAGACAGGCAGAGGGTGTCGCTCCTCCTTACTACGGGAAATGAAGGCTCCGCATTGCTGTTCTTCCTGTGTCCCTGCTCTGTCGGGGTCCTGGCTCATGGAACGGAACGGAGGCAGAAACGCCGTGGCCGACAGTGGGGCCCATTTTTCCACGCAGTGGCTAAGGCCCCAGGGTTCCTGTCCCTTCTGTTCTCCAGGATAACCAAGCTCCGAGGAAAAGACATCAGGTTTTTTTAAACCTCGAGCTTTTTAGAAATGTGACCAATGCCCTGCCTCTGTCACCTCCCCAGGAACCCATGAGGACGTCATCTGCTCAGCAGTCATTTTCTAAGACTCCGTAATTGACTGGCACTCTAGAATAGTGAGGCCCCTTCCTGCTTTGAGAGTGTCCCCAGCAG